TAGGACGCTAGTAGGGATCGAACCCGACGACCTTAAATCGTGACACACGAACTGCGAACTTTCCATTGTGAGTATTCACAGCCAGTGTTGTAAAACTCGCCGAGTCAGCCGATTACTGCTCCAAGTACTCGCTACTCGGCCCCTTCACGAAGTGAGACCATTATGTGTTTTTTAGTTTTTGTGTATTCACATGTGTCTAATTTTGTTATATATTTCTATTAACTTATGATTTTGACATATATATTGTCCCTAAAAATATTTATACTTGAATTATCGAATCCGAGTACTCCCCGAGTACTTGCTACTCGGTAGTCGGCCGAGCAGGTACCGAGTAACAATTTCTACAACCTTGTTCACAACCTCCTTTTTACTATTTTCATGTTTTGGGGTGGAAAGCATGCTACTGTTTTATGAACTATCTGTATTGTTTTATGAACTTGCTGAACACTGTTTTGTGAACTTGCTGAACACTGTTTTGTGAACTTGTTGAACAATGTTTTGTGAATTTTTTGAACTTTGTTTTATAAACTTATTAAGCTATGTTTTATGAATTCATTGAACTTGGAACAATGTTGTTTAATGAACTTGTAATATGAACTTTATGCTATGGACTTTTGATATGAACTCTATGTTATGAAATTTGTATGTTAAGTTCACGAGAATCGAACTAGAACCTATTAACTTGTATTTCGAGCCGACAATCTTATGGATAACATTATTTGGGGTAGAAACCCCCCACTCACCCAGAACCGTGAGTGTATATTTTCGTGAACTGACATCATGAGAACCATGGACATGACAAAATGGGACAAGAATGGTCGTTAGGCTTGGTTATGAACGGAGTGCTTTAGCATTCAACACTCACTTTGAGTTGGAATTTTTGTTGAACAAAACTATATTTTCTTTTACTGAAATGATGTAACTTTATAAACCTGTGAACTCGCTAACTATTTTATAGTTGAACCTCGTTTTTGCATGCTTTTCAGGGAACGACCAATGATCTAAATTAGACGTCAACATGAATTTGCACCTGATGTTTCTTTTGTTATGTATTGGACTTTGTAGTAGGGACTAAAATGTAATTTTGTTTCGAATATGATGTAAACATAAAAATGCTCAATGATTATGATTGGTAATCCTATTTACCTTGTGTTATGAGACCTTAACTTGTCACCCTTTGTGTTTTCGCTTTAACGGGATGTGATAGTTTAATCCATACTTAGAAGATTTTAGATTTGGTTGAGATTTTGAGATGTTACAACATTGATTTCTTCAAAGAAATGTCGTCCCAAATCATACACAAAATCGATTTCAAAAAATCCATTCATGAAAAAACCTTACCTAATGGTTCTTGTCGTCGAGTTTGATAGAGCTAGAGGTGAAGACGACCATCGGCGGAGATCAGATGGTGGAGGTAGAGGGTGGGTATGTCGAGAGAAGATGGTGGATGGGGAGGTGTAGGGCTGTAAACGAATCAAACGAACACGAACAAGGTCTTGTTCATGTTCGTTCGTTTGAGTTAGCCGAACAACAAACGAACGCGAACGGATAAACGAACGAGATTTTCTTGTTCATGTTCGCTCGTTTAACAAATTACTTTGTTCATGTTCGTTCATTTATGTTCGTGAACATGCTAAACGAACATAAACGAACAAACATAAACGAACAAAGATAAAAAAGCACAATTAAACATATATGAACATAAACGAACATATAATATAGCAATATAATAAAAAATAATTGAATATAGATGAATAGAAATAAACTTAAACGAACGAACATAAACGAACGTAAATGAACATCATAAACGAACGTTCACGAACATAAATGAACGAACGAGATCATTGTTCATGTTCGTTCATTTAACTAAATGAACGATAATTTTTGTTCATGTTCGTTCATTTATTAAATAAACGAACATAAACGAACTTTCCGCCGAACGTTCAGTTCGTTTACAGCTCTAGGGAGGTGTATATGTGAATAGAATGATAAGAGGTAAAAAAGATTAAGATCTTTTTGGAAATATAAAAATGGCTCCCATTAATAAGTAATTGCTGAAAAAATTAAAAACAGGATTAAGAGACTATAAAATTATACATCTAACTTACTTTTTTTATATAAAAATTAAAAAACTACCAAATAGCCTTAGTATTTCACCTTGGTGCAAAAAATTAGACTTTGCAACATGCTTTCATATCTTAGTTTTCCAATCTCAGTATACCAAATGGGAAGTGATTTGTACACAACAGTTTTTTACCATACACAACAATTTATGCATTATATAGTTGTACAATACAATATTTTAAAACATCAATTGTTGTGTATAGAAAAAAATTGTTGTGTACAAATCATCTCTCATTTCAAATTTAACGATTTTTCTTTCTACAAAACATGGAATTATGGAAAGGGTTATCTACAAAGTCCCAAACTTTTTTCAAAAGTTTCAGTAAAGTTCTAAAAGTTTTTTTTTCTGAACAGAAAAATCACAAATTTTTGAAAAAAAATCATATAATCTATCATTTGTTGTTCAAATATAAAAAATAATTTTTTTTTCATTAATTTAGACAAAACGTCAAAATATTGAGACTTTTCTGTTAAAAAAAAACTTTTAGTACTTTATTGAAACTTTTAAAAAAAAAGTTTGAAACTCTTTTTTTTTTTTTTAGATAACCCTTATAGAAATTGGTAAAACACATAATTTTTGGTGAATTGAGATATAATTTAAGACAAAGGACATACACACACATCAAACACCAGACACACACACATAAACACTTTTTTATAAACAATAAACAAAGGGGTTATAAGCAAAAAATGGCATCTTGTGAATTACTTTTCTTACATTACCTAAATACACTCTTGATATCATTTTCTCAAAACCCTGTATTAGCCAACCTCAGTTGTTGGGATGGACATCAGTAAATTACTTATGTACGTTGGAATATCGAAAGAAAATGGTTGTATTATATTCTAATGCTTTATATCATCAATACTTATTTTTGGGATTCATCGTATTTGGACATGGTTTTGGGAATGGACTGTATTTGTTTTATCTACTAACCTTTATCTTGCAAGAATTTGATCGGTTGAATATTGAAGATACAAAGTTTCTTGCCTTAGAAGATTCAGTCTAGTGTTAGCTTGATTCATAGATGTTGGTGTTGAATTTTGTATACAGAAGGTCATCGTTGCATAAAGGATTTAGCAACACCCGATTATTATTTATATATGTATTTGGGATGCTTTGGTACCTTAAATTCCAATTTAAGGTCTTTTTTTTTTTTTGTTATATTCCGTTGCATTAAATTGTAGTGTGCGACACATTTCTACTTATTGCCTAAGGAAGCTAAGAACATGTGAATTGTATGAAAACTTAGATTTGATAAAAGACACATGTTTGATGCAGTAAGCATATAATGTGATAGAAAATGTGTTTCTCGATTTTAAGCTTAAAAGGGCATCGACATTAGCATATTGTTTCACGTAGGGACCCTTCACTTTACAACAAATTAACATAGTATTTACATAAAGGTCATTTATTCATCACTATACTATTTATTTATTTTTTAAAGTTAAAACAATTTTATATCAAAGTAAAAGACTAATGGAAAACAAGTTAAACCGCTAACCCTAATATAAATAACTTTTTAACGTCATTTTTTCATGGCTTCGAATACTTTAAGTTCTTTTACCGATTACTTTTAACCAAATAATATCAAATATTGTCTTTCATCTTTAAAATTGAAGGTTCAAATTCGATTTGAAACATATGTATAACGGCAATTGTTTAGAATAGTGTTGTTCACTATTTGATTATAACCAAATTGTCCAAACAGACAATTTAGGTTGGACTATTTGATTTGGATATTTAGATTTTAGATTGATTTTAAATTAAACCGAATTATTATTTTGGATTTCAGATTGATTTTGGTTTATAAAATAAGAACAGAATAATCTAAAAAAACCCGAATTTTTAATATTTATCGTTAATCATTTATAAAATTACTAAATTATTCTTTTAAATATTATAAACTTTCATCTAATATAATACCTTAATATGATTTTTTTTTTTATAAAAAGTTTATTATCATTGAAATATTAAACTATAATCATTTTTTCTTAATACTAGTGTATAAATTATAATTCTTATAGAATTGGCTATCATCTAAGTATTATATCTTAAAATGTCTCCCTTCTTAAAAATCGAATTGTAATAATCAAATTATTGTTTGGTTGGATCGGATTTGTTTTGAATTTAATTTGAATTATTTTAATATATTTTTTGAAAAACAAAATCTTTTTAAATTTATTTGATCGGATCGGATCAAATCAATCTATCCAAACAAACACCACTAATTTAGAAGATTATATTCGCCACTAAACCCAAAATAAATATTTTCTTCCTATATAGATCAAGGTTGTAAAAAACGCTCGGCGTTAGCTAGTCGGTGGACTGGGATCAAGCGATTAATCGGCTAGGCGGAGATTAATCGGGGGATTAATCGGATACCATTAATTGCTAATTTGTTGAATTTTAAAAAATTAAATATGACTAATATCATATCAAATTTCGTAAATACTACTAATATGATAACAAAATAGGTTAATATGATTAATACAACACTAACCATGCCTCAAATAGTTTCCATAGAGATAAAACTTCTTAAAAATGTTAAAATTTCATCGTTTTATAATGCTTCCATCATTATGTATGCAGCGATTAATCGCTAGGCGCCCTTTAATCGGTCGAGTAACGCCTAGGGATTAATCGGAGATTAATCGGGACCTAGTCGGGATTTTTACAACAGTGATATAGATAAATACATGAAATATGATTTTTTTTTTTTTTAAATAACAATAAGAAACATGGTATGACTACACAAGCACGAAGTACAAGTATATATAGTAAGATAGGAATAAACAGACCCCATGTCACGTGACTTCCAGCGTGACCGTTATATCTGTACGTTGGCCCACCGGCTACATTAGCTGTGCCCACTCTCGTTCCAATACCTTTTATTTATTCTACAATAATAATAATAATAATGACGGATTCATTCTCTTGATCTTCCTAGAAATTTCATGGCTACAAATTCCATATCCACTCGCAATTTAGGGTTCCAGTTCTTCCAATTTGCTCAATCAGCATTACTTTCTCCAATTTAAAGCTTTCTTCATTCATTCATTATGGAAACTAAGGTATGTTGAAGTCTTCCACATTTAATTCACACTTTATCTTCACTTATTTAATTTCTCCAATTTTTTGAGTCGACGTCTTTTTGGAAGTGAAAGATTAAGCAATTGGCATTTACTTGAATTCAACCAATACCTAATTGGAAATTTGAGATTTAATTTCGCCGATTCGTTTTGCTATAGCCGGAAACGGCTGTTGTTAACTATCGATCGGTACTTTTGGATCGCTTTTGTTGTATCTATCATTTATATACAATTGTTAAAATTAAGCAAGTGTTCTTTGCTAAAACCAATGGATGATAACGAGTCGATATCCCCTGAAGAATTGGGAAATGTCGGTGAAAGTGAAATTAAATTAAAAAGTAATGGTGTGTGTCACGTTGAAGATGTTAATGATTCGTCCAATCGATCGTCGTCCCCATCTGTAAATAAGCGTGGATTGAGAAAATGGCGGAGGATGCCTAGGGAACTTGTTAAAACTCCAGGTAGTAAAATAGATAGTAGAAATAATGGGGATTTGGGTGATTCACTAGTTAGGGATTCTATGGTGAATGTTAATGGTAATTCTAAACTCCATCATGGTGATTCTGGATTGGGTGATCATTCTGTTCTTGCAACTAGGGCAGATTCTGAAAACAGTGAGGACCAAAGTATCAGGTCCTCATATGCTCCACGAACAAGACCTAAAATAAGTAATTCAAATGGGGGAAATTCAGCCATTTCAGTTCATTTTGGAGATCAGAAAAGCAATCTTCAAACTGGATCCAGCAAGAAGCTTAGGGGATTCAATATCGAGAAGGAAAATTCAGATTCCAATATGGGCAACTTTCTCTTTGTGCAGGGGACTACTAACTCTGTAGCAACCAAAAGTAAACAGAGTGGGAATTCTACAAAACATGATGATGATGAACTTGTAAACAATGAAGCTGAATCTGAAGATGTCACACAAGAAGATGCAGAAGAAGCTAAGGATTCATGGGAGGTGAAGGAAGAAAAGATTGAGAAATCTGAGGTGGGATTTGACCAAGATGCCCTTGTGGAATCCATCACAAGTTTCGATTCTTCCATTGAAGAACTTGAAATAGGTATACACCAAAGTTTCCTACTTTATTCATTCTTGATAAACTATTATTCATTTTCTTTTAAATAATCTGCAGAAGTGCAGAAATGGAAAGATATTGGGAAAGATGAGTCAGAGCCGTTGACTTTTGATGACTCGATTCGTAATATTCTTGAGCTCAAAGATGCCACAATTTCAGAACTTGAATCTGCCATAACATCAGCAGACACTAAAACTGAGCTTGATGAGCTTTTGAAGGAAAATATCCAAGCTGAGGTGGAAATTGTAGCAATAACTACAACAACTAAAAGCTTGATGCATGAAATGAAACATAATTTACAACAAAAAGCTGAAGATGATGTAAAGAAACTGGAAAATAAGAAGGTGTTGAAGAAACAGGAAACAGAAGAAGATGTAAAGAAATTGAAAAATAGGGTGTGTAGATTAAGTTCATGTCTTTTAATCCAATTGATACTATTGTTTGTTACATTTTACATTGAAATTTCTTCCCAAAAAGTGGAGCTTGTTCCCACTTAATTCAATATTAATTAGTATGTGACCCTCTGTAATATTTGTGTTTAGTTTTTGGGTTATTGTAAGGAGGTTATTGATTTGAATCCTGTGTAATTAATTAAAATTATGGTTATATGAAGTAGTAGCTAATTATGCTATTCTTGAAAGGTGTTAATTTGGATCAAATTTGGTTTTATTTTTGTATTTTGGTAAATAGTTGATTATACTATAATTACGAAGATTTTTAGGATCATTTGTTTAAAGTGATAAAAGGTTGGAAGATTTGATTTTGATTTGATTTATTAGATTTTGACTAAACTGGACTGAAGTTGACTATACTAATAAACATGATATTTCAAATGATGTTTTAAATAAAAAAATGAATTTTAAAGACACACGCCAATTTATCAAGATGGATATAGTGCATATCCAATGCAATCCACATTCAATACACACACATTTGCGATGTAACCTTTGTGACATATCATGTTGCTTAATGTTCCCGTTACCTCCCCACGAAAGTGTACAAAACGATCTTGATGTGTCATCCGTTTTATTCGTATTTTTTTTGAAAATTTTGAAATAAAAAAATGGATGCTTTTGGAAAGTATTCTTATAATATATGGAAGTCCGTTTATGGACCTATTATCATGAACCGACTTTTATCGGTGGTATTTTTTTAAATTATTTATAAGTGGTTAGTTATGTGGACTTGGAGTATATCGAAAACATCTTCGAATTCTTAATGGGCATGCTTTTTAGTGTTATGGAAGTTGTATGTAGACTTTTGTAATCCCCATGTCATTCTACTTTAATTTTTTTTTTTTTTTTTTTTTTTTTTTTTTTTTTTTAAAACAAAAAGGTTACCTAAGATTCTTGCCAAACAAGAATCCAATTTTTATACATATAGAAGTAATTATGTGAACGTTAATAAAAAGGGTAAATTACATGAATGGTCCTTGTGGTTTAGGGTAATCTACGTATTTGGTACTAAACAATTTTTTTTAACTCGGATCGTCCCTAATTTATATTTTTGTTGCACGTTTCGTACCTATCCATTCTAAAAAGTTTTTAGGGACCAATCACACAGATTACCCTAAACCACAGGGACCATCCGTGTAATTTACCCTAATAAAAAATTATAGTTGTCAATCATGTCGTATTCGAATTTCGGAGTTGATGGGTCAAAAAATGTAACCTGAACGCCACCCATGTAATTAACATATCATATGGTTCAACACTAATCCATATAAGCCAAACACGAACATAAACCATTTATATCGCTTAATTTATGTGCTTGTGGGTCATAACCTTGTTATTCGAATTGACAAGCATCAATGGGTTTGTAGGTAGGGTGTAATCGAGTCGAATAGTGTCAAACTCGAAACTTGACTCAATTAAAAAACTCGGGTTGAAAACTAACTCGTGCCTCAATTTCAAACTCGAGCTGTAGCTCAATAAAGTAATCGACACCTTTGAACTTGGCTCAACTCGACTTAACTAATTATTAAAAAGATAAAATTACATTAAACTGAAATAGAAATACGCCTAACTCATGAGCTTGACTCAACTCGACTCGATCATGTAAAATATGAATAAAATAACGGGTAAAAGTATAAATATAATTAAGCTCGATTAAGCTCCCGAGCGTCATGAGCTGCATGTTTCAATACTCGAGCAGCTCGAGCTCAAGCTCGAATCGAGTTGACTTGAACCGAGTTGATTTCAAATATTTTTCGAGTTGGTTTCGAGTATCTCACGAGCTTACTCGATGCAGTTACAACCCTATTTGTAGGTCATAATATTGTTTGCAGATGACCACCGTATGAAGCATATATACATGACATTCATTATGTTTTAATATATTTTATGCTGTTTTTTTTAAAATCAATTTCATAAGAAAAAGTTAAGGATAGAAGATATTTATTTAAACAATAGTCGATTAAGCAACATGGAGTCGTGACATATGGAAATGATTAGGATCCAGGGCATTGCAAATTCAAAACGTGAGAAAGGATGAGACTAAGAGTTCAAAATTTCTGGATAAGTGTGTTAAAGTGATTACTTTTAGGCTACATAGATTTAGGTATTGCATATTTCAAAAAGGAAAAATATGTTTTTTTAATCTAATATAATTAAAAGGATTTGCGGTCCTAACACGAACCGCCTACCAACCAGAACACGGATCAACCTGTCAATGAGTCGATCCTTTTTCAGACAATCCAAACTTGTTTATTTGCGTGTTATATAAAAAATTACTACCTGTAATAAAACAGATGTTTTTACTTCAAGATTGGTGATATTTGGAAATATATGGCTAAAACGGTGATTCACACAACATATATGCATGACGCAATACAGGGTCATATTACTTTACGTAAAAAAATTGATAAAAATAGTTGCCAATTTGCTCATGACATAATTCATTCAAAACATTGAATAAAGGCATGCCATTCAACTCTTGGTATTCTCAATTCTCAAAGTTATGACTTGTGACTTGGAAAACTTTTATTGATTCTTGCAAGAAATATGACAAAAATATAATGAGGGCATTCTTGTAATTTACTCATCCCCATAAGATTGGCTTCTTTATTTGACATTTTCCTAGTCCAAGTCTTCCTTCCACTACCCCACTTTCCACCTTTTGGGTTGGTTATTTCACAACCTCCAACTATATTTTCTACTTACATCCACCAATTATTTATTATCTACCTTTTAACAACATTCTTTTTCACAAAAATCCAAGCCCGATATTACCCTTTATTTATTCTTATCAAAATATAAAAAAACAATATTTTTTTTCATTTTTAAATTATAACCTTGAACACCACAAAATCTTTGCAGTAAATTAAGATAAAAAACACAGAAAACTCAGAAAGCTAGTGATTGATTGATTTGATTAATCCCATTTGAAGTCCAATATATTCCTAGTACATATGCAACCTTGCTTACATTATGACATCATCATCATCATCATCCAAAAGAAACCAACAAAAAAGGGTATTTTGGAACTTTCCTTAATCCCATGCTAAACACTCTTGCATGTCATCATCACCAATAAAATTCAAACACATAACACCAGCCATATCTAATAACACTTGCCAAAAAAGTGATCATTTTTCAGGAAAAGAAAAGAAAATCAGTTTAGGAAATCTACTACGACTACTACTAATTCTAATGAAAAGGTGATAAAATCACCAAAAAAAAAAAAAAAAAAAAACTAACCCATGTTTGAGTTGTATGATGAAGAAGCATACCCATTTCCATTTACATTTCCAGCTTCATCTTCCATCATTGTAGCCGGAGGAAACTCATTCAGATCAATGTCAAGACCTTTCCGGCGGCCGCTACTAGCTGCTTCTCCGGTGGAGGTGATTTGGCTCGACGGAGCTGCTTGTGCTTCGATGGTTCCAGTCCAGTGGCACCTCTTATGCCCACCAAGTGCTTGTCCTGTTGGAAAAATCTTGTCGCAGATTTTACATTGATGAAGTATACCATTGCTCCCCAGAGTCACCATGGCATCAGCTGCGAATTCGACTTCTTTCTCCACATGTTCATCGGATAGATTCATTAGAGAGCTCTCGTAATCCTCTGGTTCAGTCTGATGATGATGATGATGATCGATTGTTGATGTGAGCTTTGTTTTGTTGTGACTTGATCTATGCCCACCAAGTGCTTGATGAGTTGCGAAACATTTATGGCAGGTGGTGCATTTGTATTTACTCTCATGATGTTCTGGTATTGACAATGACAATGGAAGCAGGAGAGGTGGTGGAAGAGTTGGGTCACCGGCGACGATGGGGAGCTGTTCCAATTCCATCATCAGCTTCATCTTCTTCCTCTTCTTTATCTTGGTAGGACTGTTGTAAGAAGGATTACTGAATGGATTCTTGTATTTGTAATTAATCAGTAAATGTTGGGTGTTTCTACAATCGGATTCGTTGTCAGAAAAATTCTTGATCATACCATCAAACTCCATTTTCACCGGTTCGATTTCTTCCACCATAGCTGCTTTTCCTTTCCCTGTCGACACCGGAAGATGAATAGAAGGAGATTTTTCGTCGATTTTATGTTGATCTTTATTTGTTAGAGAATTACTGTTGGAACGCTCAAGCACCACCACCGGCGCCACTCCTAACTGCCTCTGAGTAACATCGGATTCCGCCGGAGATGGATCGGCATGAGCTAAGCTCATGAGATCCTCCACCGCTTCCAGTAACACCTTATCGTCATCAGCTGCTTTCAACGCCCTACGGCCTCTCCGTTCAGTCACCGACCACCCCCGTAAAAACTTTGTCAAATCAACCACCTGATCGCCGCCGGCGCCACCGTCATCAACGACGTTGCTGCCTTCTTCATTGACATAATTCTCAGATAAAGACGAAGAAGAAGTGGAAGAAGCAAAATAGCTTGGTTTATTTTTCACTAGGTTACGGCGGGGTGCGACGGCGGTTGGGGTTGGGGTGTTGGGTGGTGGTAGAATGCCTCGCCATAGTCGTTCGGGGTGACACCTCATATGTCCAAACAGTGATTTCATGGATGGGAAGATTTTTCCACATAGAGAACATGTGGGTTTACCCTCATCATTCACGCAGCTAGCATAATAGGGTTTTCTTTCTTCTTGTTGCTGTTGATGTTGTTTCTTCAGATTCTCATCGCCATTGTTGAAATCATGATAAGCATCTTTGTTAAACTTAGTTGTTTTGGATGAGTGTTTTAGAAAAGTGTTCTTGTTAGCGGCTTGAACATGAATCCTCATGTGACCTCCCAATGCTTTCCCCGAGCTGAACTCTTTTTTACATTCAGGACAAACCCTTTTTCCTTGATTCATCGTTTCACCTTCTTTCGCCATTCTCGAGCTCGACGTCGAGAAGCTTCCGATCACATCCTCCTCCGACGATTTCTCACCTTCTATCGCCGCCGCGAGCTTCGGAATCTTGAGTTTTATCACCATCTTTCCGTCGCTAGAAGGCGATCCGATCATCCTCTCTTCTATACGATCTTCATCCCCAATGATTTTCTCCATTTATATCGATCAATCGAGAACAAACAAACAAACACTCACGAGCTGTGAAGTGATAGAGATCAATGATAACTGAATAAAACCCTAATCCAGAACGAGAGAAAAAAAAAAAAAAAAAAAAAAAAACTACGATCGACGATCGATTAATCAAGAAAACGAAATACGAAGAGATGATCTCATGACTGAAAAAGAAAAGAGGGAGAACGAGGGTATTGCTGTTCTTATTCTCTCTCTAAATCTCTGCAACTACGTATGAATAAAATCTTTCAAGGAAGTTAAACCCAGCTCGAAAAATCAGCTGCAAGATCTGGAAAGTGAGAAAAGATTACGAAGAAGAAAGAAAGCAAAGGTCTTCGGTCGATTCTCAACTGCCATGTAGGTGTGTTGAGGGAAATTGACCATCACGTTCGACCTCCGCTTGCCTCTTATTCCGGTTTCTCAGTGTCCATCTCTCTATGATCTCTCTCACACACACACACACGCTTTTCTCTCTCTAACTCCTTCATAGAAATATATATCACAATCACACACAAGCATTTAATTACCCACCTCAAAACAAAAATATGGTTACTAAAAAGTCGCTCTTTCTATCTTGTAACTTAATGAAGAAGGCAAATTAGCCCCTGAAGTTTGATTATGAACGAACACAGTCCCTATGATAGATAACATTTACTTTCAAGTATAATATCTTAATTTTCACATTTGTATTAGTCAAAGGGTTCATCATCTTTTTAGTTTGATTTGCTTATGATAATGGGGTGATTGATCTCTGCTTTTTAATGAAATATATGTAATGTTTGACTTAATGTAAAATTTTAAAAATTATAGTCAAGAATATATCCAAGACTATTTTTCAAGCAAAGACGACGTAAAGAAATTCTAAAGAATAAAGTGAATGTTGTGAATGACGTGTAATTGTTGAGAACTTAATTTTTTTTTTTTTTCAAAAAAATAAAAGTTCTATAGAATTTGGAACATAGACAATAGATGATGAAAAATCATGTATTTAGCAAAGAAAGTATTCGATCTGTTTCTTTTATTGAAAAAAAGGACTTCCATTTTTGTTCTAATAAAAAATATATAACGATTTACAGTATTTAATTAAGAAGTTGGATTAGGAAAAGCCAAGTATGATGGGTTTGTTGTGTTTATATTTTTTTAAAGTTTGTTAAAAAGAAGCACCCACATATATATATATATATATATATATATATATATATATATATATATATATATATATATATATATATATATATATATATATATACACACTAATAAATAAAATCATTTTTCTGCCACATGTCATGCCTCAATGATTTGGACACATGACATTTTAATACATTTTTAGAATTTTGTTATTTCCAAATGTAATTTTCTGATTGGCTTACATACATAGCTTATTTCGGTTACAAATTTGCTGGAAATAAAGGCGATAAGTAATACAATTGATTTCTTTTTGATACCCTCATTTTACATCTCCTCATTTACGCCTCCATCTCTACAACGCCTCCAATTATTCTCTCAATCCATCCTCAGGCTTCCCATCTTCGATCAGCAATCCAGCCCAAAACTCCATCATCGATCTTCCAATTTCTTGATCTAACAACATCAATCTTTAGGATCTACATCCATCTTCAGGCTGTAACCCTTGCAATTATTGATCTTCCACGTTCTCAAATTAATTGTTGGCGTTATTACAGGTACGATTCTACTATCCTTGCACACCAACTGTTTGATTATATGCTCATAACAGTTTTTCGTCTGGATTTCTCGATAATCGATCAAATGAAGCTTATGTGTTTGACGATATAACTATTTGCTATGTAACCCCAAGATGGTTAATGGTTTAGGTTAGTTGAAATAACACACTTGGTGTAATTTGCAAGTTTCTGAGAATCTTAATAAACGACTTCAATTAAGATTAAAAAATGTCACCTGCATCAAATTATCCCTGTACACCAACTGTTTGATTATATGCTCATAACAATTTTTGGTCTGGATTTCTCGATAATTGGTCAAAATGAAGATTATGTGTTTGATGATATAACTGCTTGCTATGTAACCCCCAGAAGGTTAATGATTTAGGTTAGTTGAAATAACCCACTTGGTGTAATTTGCAAGTTTCTGAGAATCTTAATATACAACTTCAATTAAGATTAAAAAATGTCACTTGCATCAAATTATCCCTGCACACATGATCGAGTGATTAAAAACAAATCTGCAAAAAAAAAAAAAAAAAAAAAATCTCTTATTTGTTAAAAAAATCATAGATGTGATTGTTTTTGTTTCAATTTGGTGTACATTCTGATTTGACAAATATTAGAAAATTGTTAAATTTGCCACAATATATTTGATTATGTATATTTTCTGTTCATGATAACATAATATTTATACTTTGTTGGAATAAGTAAAAATGTTTCAAAATGTTTAAAATGTTTATTGTTGGTGTTATTATAGGTACGATTAAGTATTTATAACCCCCAAAGTTAATTGTGGGTATAAGGGTAGTATGGTCTTTTTAATTAAGAATTTGTTTGTTATCTTTTTTTGTTCATGATAACATAAAACTTATATTCTGTTTGAATGAGTAAAAATGTTTCATATTGTGCATTGGTGTTTGTTTGTTATAATTGATAACCCCCAAATTTACTTGTGAGTATAAGGGTAGTAACGTCTTTTTAATCAAGTATTTGTTTGTTATATCCACAGGTGGTACACTTGTTCTGGGGGACGACTTTCTCTATCAAATTGTTGTCTATCTGAATGGTACATCCTTAATATACAACTTCAATTAAGATTAAAAAATGTCATTTGCATTAAATTATCCCTGCACACATGATCGAGTGATTAAAAAAAAATCTTATTTGTTAAAAAAATCATAGATGTGACTATTTTTGTTTCAATTTGGTGTACATTCTGTTTTGGCAAATATTAGAAAATTGTTTTTGTTTCAATTTGGTGTGCATTCTTTTTACTTAAGAATTTGTTTGTTATATTTTCTTGTTCATGATAACATAATACTTATATTCTGTTTGAATGAGTAAAAATGTTTCATATTGTTTATAAGGTGTTTGTTTCTAGGGCACACCACCATCTTTATCTCAAGACACAATCTATCACAACCATCATCGTCCTTCCTCCCTCATCTAAATTTCATCACTAGCATATTTTTGCTTCCCTCTCTTCTTATCTTCTTGTTGCTGCCCTATGTCCTCGCGTCATCGTCATTGTGAAAAAAAATTAGCAGAATAAGGGTTAATGGGGGAGACTGCTTTGAGACATAGAAGAAACAATCAAGGAGTTTGTTCAGATTAGCATATTCATCGATGACTGGTCTGCATTGTTATTGACAAAGCACGACGGAATGAGGGCTACCGACGGTGACCATGATGATTTCTTGGTGAGTAGACAACCTTGTTCTTCATTTACACATCGAAGCCTTTATTTATTGGTTCTACTTCATCTGACACTGACCCTTATAATCGATGGAAAAAATAGCTACACAAAGTTGTAATCTGATTTGAAGGAAAAGCTAATGCACAAAAGTTGTTTGATGAAATGTGTGAGAGAGATCTGGTGTCTAAAACTCAATGATGTATGAGTATTTTCATATTAGTTTTTCTGGGTTCTATTTGTTCTTAAAAGGGAAAACAGAGGATTGAGCTCGAGAGGGTTCAACGAGAGATTGAGAAAGGTAATAAAAAAATCGTTTAGGCTGTTTTTCTCAATTCCCGATCCACTCTTTGCTTTCTAATTGAATTTTCTATATCATAAGTTCTATGTAGGAAAAGAAATTGATTCGTGCATCACCAGGTAACAAAAATTTCTTTTTTTTCAACCCTTGTATTCATTCTCGCATCTTTACTTGGTTCTGTTATCAACCTTGTGAAAATATTGGTTGCAAGTGGAGAACATGATCATGAATCTTGAATTTTTGATTGTTTGTTGTATTTTGTTATGGAAATTTAAAGTTATTTTATTGATATTGTTATTCTTTTTCATTCATCTGCCAAGCTTTCTCATGTTTTTTGTATAATTTTTGTGGATTCCGTGCTAATGTATTGAAAAGTTTATGAAACATTATAAGAGTAGGTCTGTAATATATTTATTTACCATTGATTGTATATCTTTCATTACCCGCTTGTAGCATGAGTCATTTCTGAATAGATTTTTTTTTTTTTTTTTTTTTTTGTAATATAAATGTGCTTTTTCAAATTTAGGAAAATGGTGTGACTAGTTCATCAAAGATGTTTTGAATAGTGGATGGCTTTTAGGAAACATTCAAGATAATTTAGAAGACTCTCAACTGAATGTCAAAACTAATAAATCAAATTTTATAAATAGGTTTTTTGAGTTTAATCATCAATGAATAGAATTATATTATAATTGCATGTATTTAATGATTGATGTTTTGAACAGGTTTAATGTAAGAGCTTGATATTTTGAATAAGGCTAACTGTAACTAAGAAAATCGATAACATGATCAAGGGGGACCCTTTTTGAATTCATTTATGATTAGTGGTATATTTATCAATGAATATAACGGCTGGAAATGTAGAAATTTAGATATCTTTTGTATTTTGTTAAAATATATTCATATATGGTTAAAAATGTATGGCTAAAGTTGTATTCTTGTATGATTATGATTAGAGGTTCATTCTTTTGTAATAAAATGCTTTTGTTTAGAGTTGTATTCATTTATGATTACGATTAGTGGTTTATTTTTTTTGAATGAAATGATGAATTCTTAAAAATTCTTTGTTTTCAATTCATAAAAAAAACGAGTCTAGTCATGTCATCTTCACTTATGAATATAACACTACTTGATAAATATTCGGATAAAATGATTAATGTGTCAATATTTTTGATGTGGGTGGTAAAAATATAACTTTAAGCAAAATAATAATAATAATAATAATAATAATAATAATAATAATAATAATAATAATAATAATAATAATAATAATAATAACGTTTTATTTTTTAAAATTATGGTAAAAACGTTTTTTAAAATCATTTTATTGATTTTGTTAATTAAAAATAGATTATATAAATTCCTAATATTTGGATAAAAAATCTATTAATCATATTAAATCCTATGATTTTAGGAATTAATTAATTACCCATAAATTATCCATAATTAATTATATTGTAAAATTTCTTTTATGCACTTATATGATGATTTGTTCACAACTGTTCTCACGTTCTCAACCTTTTAGGTATTCTCATTTGATCCTTTTCACACACACACACACACACACACACACATATATATATATATATATATATATTCAATTTACATTTAATTTAAGTTGTTACGGATAGAATCAACGTTAAGATGGTGTAGTGGTGATTAAATAAAAGTAAATTAAATATTGAATTACACATACTTCAACTTTAAACTTTTCCTAGGAATTTAGGATAAGGAGGTACCGGAGGCAAGAGCTCACAGAGAGATAATCGAGGTCCTACTAGAGTCTGTTTATATAAAGATTTTATGCACTGTAAGTCAAAACCCTTTTATATAAACAAAGGCGTAGTTGGGTTGACTATGTGGATGAAAAAGATGGAGTCTGTTTTCGAGATAAGATTTTGTCTAGAGAACTGCCAAATCGAGTTCGCCACCTGCACCATGACAAACATAACCTTAAGCTAGTGGAACAATTACACCAAGAGCATGTGTGTTAACATAGCAAACACCATGTCTTTGAATGAGTTGAAGCAACTAATGATTGGAGAGTACTGTCCACATGAAGAGATACAAAAGTTGGAGCAGGAGTTGTGGTATCTTATGATGCAGGAAGTTGATGTTGCTACCTATACAAGTCGTTTTAACGACCTTGCCACCTTATGTCCCGGGATGGTTACCTCGGAAGAGAATAAGATAGAGATGTATATTTGGGGTTTGCCTCAGCTAATCCAAGGCTTATTCATTGCCTCAAAACCAACTACCTTCGACAATGCCAAGAGATTAACCTTTAGTCTGACCCATCAAGAGGTTCGTTGTGGAACGATGGTTCAGAAGGCTGAACTTCCGAAGGTAGAGGGTAGAGAAAAGAAGTTTGGCAAGGAGTCCAAAAAGAAGGTTAGACAACTAGCAGAGAAGATACGGGAAATTATTCAAGCGTTTGCGGTTTCAACACCATCAACAAGGACTCCCTCTGGAAGTAGCCCTAGATGCAAGGAGTGTAGGTTTCGTCATAATGGATCATGTTGGGTCTGTACCAACTACGGCAAGAAACGTCACATTGCCAACATATGCAAAACCCCACCCAATCAAGGAACCACAACAGTAGATAGTCGAGCGTGCTATGATTGTAAGGAGATTGGACATATCAGGAGGGATTGTCCAAAGTTGAAAGGTCAGGGAGATAATACTAGAAGCAGTGCATTTTTCGTAGGAGCAAGATCTGAAGGTGATGACGGGTACGTTCCTAATCAATAATTTATATGCAAATATACTTTTTGATACCGATGCTGATAGAAGCTATATTACCCCCGAATTTAGGAAATTGTTAAATCACCCATCTAGTAAACTTAGGGAAGCGTATAGGGTAGAAATGGATAATGGCCAAGTCGGTAGTGTTAAAAAAAATACTTAGGAATTGTGCCTTACCATTAGATAATCATACTTTTCTCCTCGACCATATGCCAATGTTCATTAGAAGTTTTGACGTCATCATCGATATGGACTGGTTATCCTCTAACCACGTCGAGGTACTGTGCTTCGAGAAATCCTTACGTCTACCCTTAACAAACAGAGAACCCTTAATCGTCTACGACGACAAACCCGGTAGAAAAATTAGGATCATCTCCTGCATGAAGGCTAGAAAATACTTGCATAAAAAGTATTTCGGCTTCTTAGATCATATTGTCGATAGGAAAGACAATAAAAAGAAAAGATCGAGGAAGTACCTCAGGTGTGTGATTTTCCTAATGTATTCCCTAAAGATCTATCAGGTCTACCGCCAGATCGAAAAGTAGAGGTTCAAATCGATCTAGTTCCAGGAGCTTCCCTAGTAGCAAAGTCTCCTTATAGATTGGAACCCTTAGAGATGCAAGAACTCTCCAGCCAACTACAAGAACTTCTTGAAAAGGGTTTCATTAGACCAATCTTTTCGCCTTGGGGAGTACCCATTCTATTTTTCAAGAAGAAGGACAGATCTTTTCGAATGTACATTGATAGAGAGCTAAAGAAGTTGACCATTAAGAATAGATATCCACTACCCCAAATAGACGATCTACTCGATCAATTGCAACAATCCAGTTACATCTATAAAATTGACTTGAGATCGGGATATCATCAACATCGAGTCACGGAAGAGGACATTCCAAAGACCGCCTTTAAGATGCGGTATGGTCATTATGAGTTCTTAGTCACGCCTTTAGGATTGACCAACGCCTCAGATGTCTTTATGGATCTTATGAATCGAGTGCGCAAGCCCTACTTGGATAAATTCGTGATTGTATTCATCAACGATATTATGGTATATTCACGAACCAAGGAAGAGCACGGGCAACACCTTCGAGTGATCCTAGAGCTTTTAAGGAAAGAAAGATTGTAAGTAATATTCTCTAAGTGCGAATTTTGGATAAGAGAAGTACACTTTCGTGGGCATGTGGTAAGAAATAGAGGAATTCATGTCGACCCTTCCAAGATAGAAGCAGTAAAGAATTGGGAAGCACCCAAAATGCCAACATAAGTGCATTAATTTTTAGGTTTGGTTGGTTATTACTGAAGATTTATATAAAATTTCTTCCATATAGCGAAACCCCTCATAATATTAAGCTAAAAAGAAGTAAGATTCATTTTGGGAGACCAATAAGAAGCAACTTTCCAAAAGCTGAAGGAAATGTTGTGTAGTGCACCGATACTATCCCTTCCAGAAGGCACTGATGACTTCGTAGTATATTATGATGCTTCACATTAGGGATTAGGATGTGTGTTTATGCAAACGGAGACTCTCATAGCCTATGCCTCAAGATAACTTAAGGTACATGAGAACAAATACACCACCCACGACCTAGAGTTGGGAACAATAGTTTTTGCCCTGAAGATTTAGCGTCATTAATTTCACAAAACGAAGTGTGTAGTATACACAAATCATAAGAGTCTGCTTATCATCTTAGATAAAAAAAGAGCTCAACATGATACGGAAAAGATGGTTAGAGTTGCTAAATGACTATGATTGTGAGATTCGTTACTAACCAAGAAAGTATAACATTGTAGCTGGCGCTTTAAACCACAAAGAGTGAGTTAAAC